CCAGCACGGCCAGCACCATCCAGTGAGCAGATCTATTTGCTTACAAACTATGAGTGTGTCTTTTGTGAAAACAGAAACTCTAAATAAGTGAAGTCTTCATGAATGAGGTTTGATTGTGAATAAGATAAAAATGTGACCAGAGGAACCCAGTTCTACAGCACGCGTTCGACGTTTTCGGCATCACTCTGGCCGAGGTGTTCTTGAACCTCGTGGTGGCAAAAATAAGACACACAAACAGCTCAGCTCTCCTCACCAAGTGCGGGACTCATTTCTCTGTTTCTTCAGAGGGAAAAGCGTTTAATGGGAGCGTTGGGCGGCCCCTGGGACCGGCAGACCCTGTTTAATCTCCCATGATCCCTTCACGTCTGCTTGCTACAGTGTGCTGTCTGCAAACTCACAGCAGAACACTGTTGCACGGGGCTGGAGGTCAAGAAGGAGAAAATGAAAAAGCCTGCTGGGGTGGATTCGTGGAAACACCATGACAAAATAGCAAGGCTCTCTCCTCTGCCACTTGAGGACAGCTGCTGTATCAGAAGCCTCTTATGCCTGGACACAAGCAGGCACAGGATGCATGGCGTAAATAATGTTGGAAAAGCAGGGACCCTGAGGACGGCGCTTGACTTCTGGGCAGTTGCAACTAACCTGCAGCATGGAGCAGGAGGGCCGAGTGCCCTGTGCTCTTTTAGGCCAGGGTAATTTACAACGTCCGGAACACTGCACACAGCTGTGGGATAAAATCAGCTCTTCTGGCCCGGCATGGTGGCTCACGCCTGTAATCCCAGCACTTTGGGAGGCCGAGGCGGGTGGATCACGAGGTCGAGAGATCGAGACCATCCTGGTCAACATAGTGAAACCCCGTCTCTACTAAAAATACAAAAAATCAGCTGGGCATGGTGGCGCGTGCCTGGAATCCCAGCTACTCAGGAGGCTGAGGCAGGAGAGTTGCCTGAACCCAGGAGGCGGAGGCTGCGGTGAGCCGAGACCGCGCCATTGCACTCCAGCCTGGGTAACAAGAGCGAAACTCCGTCTCAAAACAAACAAACAAAACAAAACAAAACAAACAAACAAAAACAAACCCAGCTCTTCTGAAGACCAGCCAGCAGAATGGCTCCCTGAGTCCTGCGTCTCAGCCCCACTAGGTCCCTTCTTTCCCTCCTCTCTCCACATACCACATCCTAAGGCTGACTCCAAACCCAATTTCCCATTTCCTCTGCAAATATATCACTGCGGTAGCAGCAAACACACAGAAACTTGATGAATGAACACGAAGAACACAATAACAGCTTCATAAGTTGTGCGCAGAAAAGCGGCTCTGAACCAGCTGCCAAGAGTCTCACACCCAGAGGGCTCGGCGTACCCTGCGGGGACCGGAGACTCTGGGGCATGGCTCTCAGACCATCCTCCCCGGGAAAGAAGGTGCATTTGTAGCCAACTGCATTCCCCCTTCACTCAGAGCCAATTTCCTGTAAAGAGCCAGGGGCTCATAACTTTTGGGACCAGTGCCAACCAATAAATAGCTGCTTTTGCAGAATCCCATTTGATTTTATTCTACCGTTGGCAGTATAGGCCAGAACGCCAGTAAAGAAAGCACTGGAAAAAAAGACTTTTATTTATTTATTGAGCCAGGGTTTTGCTCTGTCATCCAAGGTGGAGGACAGTGGCTCCATCTTGGCTCACTGCAACCTCCACTGCCCAGGTTCAGATGACTCTCATTCCTCAGCCTCCTGAGTAGCTGGGATTACAGGCAACTGCCATGACATCCACCTAATTTTTCTTTTCAGTAGAGCAAGATTTCACCATGTTGGTTAGGCTGGTTTCAAACTACTGCCTTCAAGTTATCTGCCCACCTCAGCCCCCAGTGCTGAGATAACAGGCATAAACCACCCTGTCTGGCCTGGGAAAAAAGATTTTATTGGGAAGAGGCACCTAGTGCTCGGGAGGGCTGCTTCTCAGTGAGACAGAGAATAGCCTTGGTCATGGGTCTCCTGTAAGGTGGGAAGAAATGTAAGCCTGGGGAAAATGGAAGGCTTGGAGCAGCCATGTCAGATCACAAGTTGATGTCCAGTGACGGAGTCTTTACCCTTTTGTGGTAACTAGCCTCCAAAGTGACCCACAGTGGCTCCCGCCTCCTGGCACTCACCGGGAGGTTGTCCCCTCCCACACTGAACAGGGATGACCTGTGTAACCAAGAGGCTACTGTAGAAATGACGGCGTCCAACTTCCATAGCTAAGGCATAAAAGACATTGTAGCTCTTGCCTAGCGCTGTCCTGGATCACTGGCTTTGAGGGAAGCTGGCTGCCATGTCAGGAGGACACTCAAGAAGCACTGTGGCGAGGTCTGTGCAGCAGGGACCTGAGGGCTCCTGGCAACCACCAGCAACACCTTGGCAGCCAGGTGACTGAGCCACCAGGAAGCACATCCTCCAGTCCAGTCAAGCCCAAGGCTGGTCACAGCTCCAGCCGGCATCTTGGCTGCAACTGCATTAGAGACCCTGAGCTAGAACCACCCAGCTTAGCCAGCTTTCAAATTCCCGACCCACGGAAATCACGTGAGATGACAGAAAATATTTACTGTGGTTTTCTGTCCCTAGATTTTGGTGTCATGTATTGTGCAGCCATAGATCATGGGTAAATACCCTTCCAGAGGTAGTCTCATGTCTGTTTCCATGGGAAACTGCCTTTGTCACTGATGGGAAGTCTTGCTAGTGTCTCCAAAGTAGGATGGTCTTCTTTCAAGAATATCAGTACCTCCTAAGATCAGTATCTTCTGCCTGGATATCTGGAGATGAAAAGCTACCTTTCTTACTTTTTTTGGTCCTGAAACAGGGTCTTACTCTGTCACCCAAGCTGGAGTGTGGTGGCACGATCACAGCTCACTGCAGCCTCAAACTCCTGGCCTCAAGCGATCCTCCTGCCTCAGCTCCACAGTGGCTGGGACTGCAGGTGCACACCACCATGCCCAGCTGATTTATTAATTTGCTTTTAGAGACAGGGTCTTGCTATGTTGGGAAAGCAACCTTTCTGCTTCTTTTTTGTCCATTATCTTCAATCACTACGAGGAAGGACATACATGTATATATATATGTACACACACATGCACACACGCATGCACCTATGCACGTGCACACACTCAGCTTTCTTCTAAACCTGAAAAACCACTCAAGCACTGGGAACCTGAGCTCTTTTCCAGAGACAAGCCGATGCTGTGGAAATTTTAAGTACCATTTTTTCACGCTGTCTCTGAAGGGGTAGGCAGTTGCAGGGGGGAAATGGGGAGGCTGATTACTGAGAAGTGATGGACGGCTTTGTTCTCGCTTGCTAGTTGTAAAATCCCGAGCTGGGTGAGCAGCAGCAGGAGGGGAAAACCACCGCCACTAAGTCTGTGCCTTCCAGCATTGGTTTAAATATTTCAAGATGGAATTTTCCCCTTTTGTTCTCCTTTCTCCAACCTGTCTTTTCACTCCGTGTGGAAGAAAATCTTGAGCAAAAACACGGGGACTGTGAGCATGACAGCATGTCTGGATTAGGCTAGAGGCAGTCCATATATTAGGAGAAATGTTTCCCTGCAGCATAGATGCTCTACTGTCACGAAGCTGGAAGAAGGAGGCCTCTGCTTCAGAGTACGTGAAGCAGCCACAGTTCCTTCTCCTCCGGATGAGGGCCAGGAAGAATGCTTAGAGCCCAAAACGTTTTGGAACATTCTCCTAGGCTGCAGTAAGCCGTGAGGATGGAGATAAAGAGTAGAAAGCAATGAGGGGAGCAGGCGCCATGGTTCACGCCTGTGAACTCAACACTTAGGAGGCTAAGGAGGCTGGAGCGCGGTGGTGTGATCACAGCTCACTGCAGCTTTGAACTCCTGGGCTCAAGCGATCTTCCTGCCTCAGCCTCAAGAGTAGTAGCTGGGCCTACAGGCAGGCGCCATCATGTTTGGCTAATTTTTAAAATTGTTTGTAGAGGCGGGATCTTGCTATGTTGCCCAGGCTGGTCTTGAACTCCTGGCCTCAAGCAATCCTCCTGCCCCGGTCTCCCAAAGTGCTGGAATTAGAGGCATGAGCCACCAAATTCAGCTTCGTCAGCCAAATTCTTAAATAGCTAGGTCTGCGTCTTAAATGCCTTTGGTAAAACTCGCAAAGACTGATAGATTATAGCATACCTAAGTTCTTACCAAATACTTGTTGGTTCTATGCAAGATGGGTACCTGAATAAGACTAGAAAGACATGCCAAATGCAGCCCTTATCTAGGTCAGAGAAATCTCAGTGAAGGGGAAAAACAGTATCAAGTAATTTTTTTAAAAGCATGCTGTGTTTGAATGGCGTTTTACGTGTCTGATCAGTAATTTAGCTTAATTTAATTTGACAGACAACTTATTTGATTCAAATTTTTAAAAACAATGATTGATAACCCACTCCCTAAATTTTATAATCAGAAAATAATTGCCACATTTTAAGAGTAGAGAACTAATAGAAAAATGATTTCATTATACTTTAATAATTAGGACGTTAGATGTTTGGAATTTCCTAAGAGATTTTACAAGATAAAAATAGGAGCTAATTGAGAAGCACTGAATACACAGTCTTAGACAAAATCACTTTCTCCTATTAAGTGCAAGGACACTGATGGGCTCCAAATGGACCAGGCAACCATGACATTCTCTCAGCAAAGGCAGCCCAGAACTGGGGCAGAGACAAGGTTGGCTCAGATAATACCAATGCGCCCCTTTGAAGAGTCCCCAGGAGAAAGACTTTTGTGAACGAGCAGTGGAATAATTGCATTTTTCCCAAATGCAGAAACAAACTGCTATGAGAAAAACATGGGGACATATTTCACTCCTCCAGACCCTAAGCAATAGTTCCAGTTCTTTGTTCACGGACATACGTCGCTCAGCCCAGAAGACATTTTCACATGCCAAACAGAAGCTCAAGAATTCAGAGACAAAACTTAGTCTCAGACACGTTTACTGTCAAACATAGTCTTAAAAAAAAAATAAATTCTTACTCACCTGCCAGAATATGCTGTCTATCGTGTTTCCAAGAAAACCATCGCGACCCTCTGAAGACACGAGCTTGGGGCCAAGAATGGTCATGAATTCATCAAAATCCACCTGGCCATCCCCTGGGAGGAGAAAACGTAAATATGAGTTGCAGACAAGCTGAGCCTGACCTACTGTACCTGCTGCAATACACGCCTCTACGCTTTCCTTCTTGGCACGACCTCAGTCGATGAAGAAGAGCTGGTAACATTACTTAAAATTGTTCAATGTTCTTCAGTGGCTGAAAGTCCCACAAGAAACTGGCAATTATGAGTACAAACAGCACCACACAACCCTAAATATCTCACAGGATGTCTACAAAACGCCCAACTACCACGTCCCACTTAACATGGCAATGCCTCTCCTTACTTTTCCTTTCACTCCAAACTGCCCAGCTGTACGTGATAGAAGGGGTGGCTTCACCCCATCTCTTCCGCCATCCTTGTCACCCACATATACGTTTAGTTATCAAGCCTTCTGGGTTTCACCTCTTAAGTATCTGTGGCTGCTCTTCCTCCTCATTACTCCAATGGCTAGTTCCCTTTTCAATGACGAAGGTGAGAAAATCCTTCCAAGAATTAATGTTCCTAGCTACGATTCTGTTATGAGTAGCATGGCTTTCCACACCCCCCTTCACAGTCTCTTCTACGCAGTTCTGAGTTTAATTCCCCCAACCCAAATCTGATCATGCTTTACACATTTGAACAGCATCTTTTATTTTTATTTTTTGAAATGGAGTTTTGCTCTGTCACCCAGGCTGGAGTGCAGTGGTGTGATCTCGGCTCACTGCAACCTCCACCTCCCAGGTTTAAGCAATTCTCCTGCCTCAGCCTCCTGAGTAGCTGGCATTACAGATACCCGCCACCATGCCTGCCTAATTTTTGTATTTTTAGTAGAGATGGGGTTTCACCATGTTGCCCAGGCTGGCCTCAAACTCCTGACCTCGAGTGATCCACCCACTGGCTCTTTTCTTTTTTTTTTTTTTTTCCTGAATGAATACTTTTTAAAAAATATATATTTTACTGTGTTTTAGGTTTTGGGGTACATGTGAAGGACATGCAAGATTGTTGCACAGGTACACACATGGCAGAGTGATTTGCTGCCTTCCTCCCCATCACCTGTATCTGGCATTTCTCCCCATGCTCTCTCTCCCCAACCCCCCACCCCCCACTGTCCCTCCCCTGTTTCCCTCCAACAGACCCCAGTGTGTGGTGCTCCCCTCCCTGTGTCCATGTGTTCTCATTGTTCAACACCCGCCTATGAGTGAGAACATGCGGTGTTTGGTGTTCTGCTCTTGTGTCAGTCTGCTGAGAATGATGGTTTCCGGGTTCGTCCATGTCCCTCCAAAGGACACGAACTCCTCGTTTTTTATAAGCCCGTCTCTTTTGTATCCATTTGTCCCCAACCTTTGCATAGAATGCACGCCCCCTCGCACGTCTGTATGCCTGTGTATGGCGGTCCTGCTGCCCAGCTTGTCCTCCCTCCCTTGTCTGTCTGGGACTATCTCTTTCTCCAAGATGGAGCTGATGTTCTCTTTTTCTTTTGTTCCTGATCTCGTTAGGCAGAACTGGTCGGACTTTTTTTCTACCTCTCCTACTAACTTCATATGTATCTATCGTAAAATTTAAAACCATGTATCCCGGCTGGGCGCGGTGGCTCATGCCTGTAATCCCAGCACTTTGGGAGGCTGAGGTGGGTGAATCACCTGAGGTCAGGAGTTCAAGACCAGCCTGGCCAACATGGTGAAACTCTGTCTCTACTAAAAATACAAAATTAGCCAGGCGTGGTAGCACATGCCTATAATCCCAGCTACTTGAGAGGCTAAGGCAGGAGAATCACTTGAACCGGGAGGTGGAGGTTGCAGTGAGCTGAGATTGCACCTCTGCACTCCAGCCTGGGCAACAAGAGCAAGACTCTTTCTCAAAAAATAAAATAAAATCTCATATCCCAGTCATTGATTTGCATGCCTATCTCACAAGCGAGAAATTGTGAGTTCTGCAAGGTCAAGGACTTGGTCTGAAACAACTTGGTATATTGAACACCAAAGCAGGCATTCGGTATGTACTTTCACAATGAATGGATGATGTCTCTTGCTCGCTCTTTCTCTGTTCAGTTCAGCATCTGTTGGATCTTTCATGCGAGAGCTGATAGTAGCCAGAAGGTGGACTTGAGCCAACTCAACAGACAACAGTGAACCTTCAAGCCACCGTTAGGTCCTCTGTGAGTCATCAGCGTGGCGTTCTGCACCCGTAGAGCTGTTCAAAGGGCAACTCCATCACGAGTGCACCACATCCCGATCTTGGCTCCAGCCAGCGCAGGCAGCCAGGTGTCTGCACACAAGAGTTTGCCCAAATGCCCACACATAAATCAATCTACTCCCAGGGTGCATTCACCTTCAAAGAACATTCATTCACAACCTATTTCATAACACCAAGCAGATGTGAGCATTGAGATGCCAGTAACTCAGAACAGCTTGTCCAGGAACAGATCCCAGCAGAGGTAAAACTTCCTAAAGGATTAGGGAGGCATGGCAAGTCAATAGGAAATGGAGGATTTAACCACCAAATGATGGGGGACGGTGAGTGGCCTCTGGAGAGGAAATCGATTATCTCATCGTTCAACAAGATAAATCTAAAACTTCACCGTTTCTGGTAATCGTTAAGAAAGCTAATTTAAGCGACAAATGAGTTACCAACTTGCCTTCAAAGTTAACAAAGACTTCCAAAAAGCACGCTGCTGTCCATGCGGCCAGAAATACAGCGAGAGAGGCTCTATAATGCACTCCCGGTATACTCGTCCCAAATAGAGACTGCAAGTCCCGATCGGGACCCTGCAAAGTGCCGGTTCCTTCGGGTCTAACAACTCACTTAGAAAACAGAGATGGGGTCTTGCTGTGTCGCCCAGGCTGGTCTCCAACTCCTGGATTCAAGTGATCCTCCTTCCTCGGCCTCCTAAAGTGCTGGGATTACAGGTAAGAACCACTGCACCTGACCTTAATAACTTCATTTTTAAAGAAAAAACAAAACAATATTATCTTGAATATAGAACAAGATATTTGCCTAGAGATAGTTGTTCAACCAGTATTTGTGAAAGTGAAAGTAGAGAGCTAGAGGGAAAGGAGAACGGCCCAGTCTACCTAGAATTTGACACCTCTGAAAGCTAACTCCATGTGGCTCCAAGTCTCAGGCAGACATGCTTGTTACCTACGTGCAGTAACCCTCAGCTCACCCCAAATCACCTCCACTGGTCACAGGTGGGGCTGGATGGCTAAATAGTCTCAGACTAAACTCTGCATTCTCAAGAGAGACAGTGTCACCCACAATGGGGTGAAAATGGATTCTTAGTGTTGGAAATAGATGCTCGGTGCTGCAAAGAAAAATTAGCACGGAGACAAAGGATCTTTCAGCAACACAATTTTTACTTCCTGGATTGCAGGAACGGTACCCTCACTAGCCATCTTGCCACGAGAACACAATGAACAAAGGAAAAGACACACAAATTCATCCCTTATGCATTTGGGGTCGTCCTTCCTGCTGTGACTGATCTCTGTTGGCTGGGGCCAGACCTCACAATTTAAACTAAAACCAGACTGGCTAATAACTTAAAACTTTTCTAAACAGGTGAAAGCAATGGAGAGCTGGGACATGCCTGTGAGCATGTCCAGCACAGATAGCTTGGTTAAGGTACAAGGACATAGAATGTACTACGTGCCTGTAAGCATGGCATGTCTAACAGCTACATAGGATGGGGCTTAACAAAGTTATTACCACACTTATTCTTTAACAAGAAAGGAAACTTTAAAAAGGAACTTTTCTACTTCCTACATTAGAGAACAAAATAATGTGAGCCATTGGTAGATATGACCTGTGGCTCCTGTAGAGCTACAATACATAATACACAGTGCATCTGTGCAAAATTTCAAGTGAGGAGGACATCTACAAGAATGCATGTCTTAAAAGGCTCTTCAGGGTACTTATTAAAAAGAAGAAGATTGAAAATCACTGGACTGGCAAACATCCCAAGTACTATGGTTCTTTTTCCTAGGTGCTCCCTCTGGAATGTTGGTCTAATAGCAGTGGGCATCGTGCACTATCTGCCACCCCTGGTGAGGTCTAACTGTTCACAGAGGCTTAGAAGCTGAAGGACATGGATCTATTTTTGCAAAGATGTCATGAGGGCCAGGCACCGTGGCTCACACCTGTAATCCCAGCACTTTGGGAGGCCAAGGAGGGTGAATCTCTTAAGGCCAGGAGTTCAAGAGCAGCTTGGGCAACATGGCGAAATCCCATCTCCGCTAAAATACAAAAATTAGCTGAGCGTGGTGGTGGCCACCTGTAGTCCCAGCTGTGTGGGAGGCAGAGGCAGGAGAATAGCTTGAGCCAGGGAGGCAGAGGTCGCAGCGAGCCGAGATGGCACCACTGCACTCCAGCCTGGGTGACAGGCTAACACCCTGTGTCAAAACAACAACTACAAAAATAAAAATAAACAAAGAAAAAAACCACGTGAGGCCTTAACTAAGAAACGTCCACTCGGCTGGGCCACTCGAGCTCCTGGCCATGGTATAATGGGCACCATTTTCTCCTACTCGGGAACCTCATAGTTCACAGGATGTGGCAAAAACCCAAGCTTGCCAGCACCAGGAGTAGGAGGCCGTCTTTGAACAATGTACCGTCAAGGTAGGAGGAGGAGTGAGGCCACCCACCTCTCCGAAACCTCAGCTCGGGGGGCAGGGAGCGTAGCAGTTCAGAACTGGTGTGTTTCCCAGGTCCACACGGAGCTCTGGGCCAAGCCATCGCAGTGCCAGGCAATGCTCACAGATGGTGCTCTTGGCTGGGAACGACACACCAAAAGCTGACAAGCAGAAACGATGCTTCTGAAACATATCTTGGCCCTGGCAAAGGGAGCAGCTCATTTGCTATTCCAAATTGTTGGCCAGAGAAGAAGCGATGGGGAAGGGCACTCAGGATCCTATGGGCAGGGACAACTATGGTGTGCAGTCCACGTGACTTGGCAGAAGAGGTCCAGATCATGGAAGTATTTGCTTCTGGTCATTTAGGAGAGGACATTTGGAATCCCAGATTGG